GAGATGTAGACACGTGTGTGTGTGTGTGTGTGTGTGTGTGTGTGTGTGTGTGTGTGGGTGTGTGTGTGTGTGTGTGTGTGTGTGTGTGTGTGTGTGTGTACCTGTACCTGTACCTGTACCTGTGTGCACTGCAGAGGTTGTAGGTGTGACAACCCCAGACCTACTGGGATATGCCACAGTTTCACTAAGCTGCCACCAACCATTCCCTGTAAGGAGTCACACAGACCAGGGATGGATTTTTAACAAACAAAGGAATAAGGTTTATTTAAATAACACACAGGGAAAATAAAATGATCAAGTGAATAAGATACAGTAACGTGGCGTAGTCTCAATCATACATACACCATTTTGGTTCACACAGAACACCTTTAAATAAAGCACAGACCCTGAACCTATCAGTTCTGGCTACCCATAAAGACACCTGAACCAATCAGGTAGGTACTGACTGACACACAGTAGTACCCTGGCTGACACACAGACTCCCACACCAGCTTCTTCTTCCCAGCTTCTCTCAGCTCTCCTCACAAGCTCCACATATATATACAGTACAGCCCCTCCTCCTGATGTCCCGCCTTCCACTCCCCATAGGATGGAACTTTCCCTCCAAACCCATGACAGACAGGTAACATCAGTGCTGTATGTAACACCTCCCCTCTTTACAAGTTGTTTTGTAGGGGGAAAGCTAAAGTGCTTTTCAACATGCATGGGAGTATATGCATACAAATGTATGCAGTTGATGTATGTGCACATATATTTAAACCTATCACAAGTGCCTATATGTACACTGCATGGTTGCTGTGCACACATACACATGTTCCATAGCAGCAGTCCTGTCCATGTTGCTAGAGGGGGTGAGGGGGCTGCTTTGGGATCACAGAAGGGACCAAATCCTACTCCTTTCCATCCAGGATCTGGGGATTTGGGGAGGGTGGACCTAGGGCAACATAAGTGGTCTTTTGGAGGCCTGCGTGAATGATCAGGAGAATTGCTAAAGAATTTATTTGTTTCTTAGATATAACCAAGCAAAGAATCTTTCCCGAGATCTAGAAAAACAGGCAAATAAGGTCCATGCAGATGCAGAGGAGGCTGGAAACAAAGCCCTGCAAATCTATGCCAATCTCAGCAGTCTGCCATCAATAAATTCTGAGGAGCTAGAGGTATGTAGGATTCAGATTCTTGCATAGAATTATTATACATTATGACTGGCAAATCTTTAGAACCACAACAGAATTGAAAATTGTTTGACCTTTGGTAGCTGATACCAGAAATAATAATAGTTCAGGCTCTTCAGCTATGGCCTATCCCAGGGGTGGGCAATTAATTTCTATAGGGGGCCATATGAAAAATCTGAACTATGTTCAGGGCTGAACCAACTTTATTTAAAAATAAAATGAAACAGTGATGTTATGATTGTTTCTTATTTTAAACTTGTTAATCTTCACAAATACTAAAGAGGTTTTTTGTGGTATGTTAAAGATAAGCAACTGATCAACTTTAGACAAAAAGCTATAAATGGTTTTGATGTTCGACTTGTTCAGTGAGAGAAATCCAGTCTGTCTTGGGCTTGAACAAGTGCTTGAACACCAGATTGGAGCGACGACCAGTGGGCCGGACAGGAGCGGCTCACAGGCCGTATGCGGCCCTCGGGCCACACTTTGCCCAGGTCTGGCCTATCCCCATCTGATTCTCTCCACATGTTTTGATCTTTAACTTCTATTGTTACTATATTCAACATTTATATAATAATATGAACCTTAACAAATCGAAGCCTGAACTTCCTAGCTGCCAGAGCCAATTGTTTTAACCGTTTTTATGTTAATCTGCCTTTGTAAAGGCCTATGGCCAGAAATAATAAAGGCATACTGTAATTTCTATTGTCATTACATCTCATGGCTCAAAATTAGCCATACTAATGCAGGCTGATGAAAATTGCAATCCAAAACATTTGGAGGCTCTGGTAGAGGGTGGGCTTCATTTGCCTCATAAATGTTAAGCTTATAAGACTTGGTTTCCCCAGAGTATACGATGTACACTTCTGTACTGTAAACTGCTACACTTCCAGAAGTCGTTTCTCTTCCCATTTTTGATTCCATTTGCAGAATGAAGCCAATAAAATCAAAAAGGAAGCCAGAGAGCTGGATCAGTTAATCAACAGGAAGCTGAAGGATTATGAGGATCTTAGAGAAGACATGAAAGGGAAAGAATTGGAAGTACAAAACCTTTTGGAGAAAGGCAAGACAGAACAGCAGGTTAGTTCGGTGTAGAACTTCTTGCCTATAATGGAAGCAAGCTATAAATACATATTAGAAAAATTACGATCTATGTGACCCTTTAACAGATGAGTCATTTCTAGAGCTCTATAACTGACCCCCAACCTGAAGTAGTAACAAAGAATTGGGTGCTGGTAACAGCTGGAAACTACGAAGATGTGAATAATAAAAATGAAAAGATCCAGGAACTTAGACAAAGATGACAATGCACTGCTTGCTGTTGTTTAGTCATTTAGTCCTGTCCGCCTCCTCGTGACCCCATGGACCTGTCTTCCACTGCCTCCTGGAGTTGGGTCAAATTCATGTTGCTAGCTTCAGCGACACTATCCAACCATCTCGTCCTCTGTCATCCCCTTCTCCTCTTGCCTTTACACTTTCCCACATCAGGGTCTTTTCCAGGGAGTCTTCTCTTCTTATGAGATGGCCAAAGTACTGGAGCCTCAGCTTCAGGATCTGTCCTTCCAGTGAGCTCTCAGGGTTGATTTCCTTCAAAATTGATAGATTTGTTCTCCTTGCAGTGCAGGGGGCTCTCAAGAGTCTCCTCCAGCACCACAATTCAAAAGCATCAATTCTTTGGCAGTCAGCCTTCTTTATGGTCCAGCTCTCACTTCCATACATCACTACTGGAAAAACTATAGCTCTGACTATGCGGACCTTTCTCGTGAAAACCCCGCATAGTCAAAGGTGATGTCTCTGCTTTTTAAGATTCTGTCTATGTTTGTCATCGCTTTCTTCCCAAGAAGCAGGCCTATTTTAATTTTGTGGCTGCTGTCACCATCTGCAGGAATCATGGAGCCCAAGAAGGTAAAATCTGTCACTGCCTCCATATCTTCCCCTTCTATTTGCGAGGAGGTGATGGGGCCGGTGGCCATTATCTTATTTTTTTTTTATGTTGACCTTCAGACCATTTTTGCACTCTCCTCTTTCACCCTCATTAAGAGGTTTTTTAATTCCTCCACACTTTCTGCCATCAGAGTGGTATCATCTGCATATCTGAGGTGTACAGATTAGCATTCTTTTCGACAGACCACTTTGTGGTATAGAATCTTTTAGGTAAAGGACGGGCCCTGTGCAGTCATCCAGAGGCTATTGGACTGTAACTCTGATCAACCTTAGCCAAAATAAACAGGGAGACAACATACAGCCTTGTTGTAATCCTTTTCCGATTTTGAACCAATCAGTTGTTCAATATCCAGTTCTAACTGTGGCTTCTTGTCCCACATATAGAATTCTCCGCAGACAGGTAAGGTGGACAGGCAGTTCCATTTCTTTAAGAACTTGCCATAGTTTGTTGAGGTTCACACAGTCAAAGACTTTTGCATAGTCAATGAAGCAGAAGTAGATGTCTTTCTGGAACACTCTGGCTTTCTCCATAATCCAGTATGCGTTAGCAATTTGGTCTCTAGTTCCTCTGCCCCTTTGAAATCCAGCTTGTACTTCTGGGAGTTCTCGGTCCACATACTGCTGAAGCCTACCTTGTAGGATTTTTAGCATAACCTTGCTAGTGTGTGAAATGAGTGCAGTCGTATTGTAGTTGGAGCATTCTTTGCACTGCCCTTCTTTGGGACTGGGATGTAGACTGATCTTTTCCAATCCTCTGGCTACTGCTGAATTTTCCAAACTTGCTGGCATATTGAGTGTAGAACCTTTACAGCATCATCTTTTAAGATTTTAAATAGTTCCACTGGAATGTCATCACCTCCACTGGCCTTGTTGTTAGCCAGGCTTTCTAAGGCCCACTTGACTTCACTCTCTAGGATGTCTAGCTCAAGGTCAGCAACCACAGTATCTGAGTTGTTCGGGACATCCAGATCTTTCTGGTATAATTCCTCTGTGTATTCTTTCCACCTCCTCTTGATGTCTTCTGCTTCTGTAAGGTCCCTTTCATTTTTGTCCTTTATCATGTCTATCTTTGCACAAAAGGTTCCTTTAATATCTCCAATTTTCTTGAACAGATCTCTGATTTTTCCCTTTCTATTCTTTTCCTCTATTTCTTTGCACTGTTTATTTAAGGAGGCCCTCTTATATTTCCTTGCTATTCTTTGGAAGTCCACATTCAATATTCTGTAACTTTCCCTATCTCCCTTTCATTTTGTTTCCCTTCTCTTCTCTGCTATTTGTAAGGCTTCTTGGGACAGGCACTTTGCTTTTTTGCATTTCCTTTTCTTTCGGATGGTTTATGGCTGCCTCCTGTACAATGTTTCGAGCCTCTATCCATAGTTCTTCTGGCACTCTGTCCACCAAATCAAGTTCCTTAAATCTGTTCTTCACTTCCACTGTGTATTCATAAGGGATACCTGACTAGCCCAGTGGTTTTTCCTACTTTCTTCAGTTTAAGCTTGAATTTTGCTATAAGAAGCTGATGATCAGAGCCACAATCAGCTCCAGGTCTTGTTTTTGCTGCTTAGAACTTCTCCATCTTTGACTGCAGAGAATATAATCACTCTGATTTCAGTTTTGCCCATCAGGTGATGTCCATGTGTAGAGTTGCCTCTTGTGTTGTTGTGAAAGAGTGTTTGTGAGGACCAGCTTGTTCTCTTGACAAAACTCTATTAGCCTTTGCCCTGCTTCGTTTTGAACTCCAAGGCCAAACTTACCTGTTGTTCCTTTTATCTCTTGACTCCCTACTTTAGCATTCCAGTCCCCTATAATGAGAAGAACATCTTTCTTTGGTGTCAGTTCTAGAAGATGTTGTAAGTCTTCATCGAATTGGTCAATTTCAGCCTCTTCAGTATCAGTGGTTGGTGCATAAACTTGGATTACTGTGATGTTGAAAGGTCTGCCTTGGATTCATATTGAAATCATTCTATCATTTTTGAAATTGTATCCCAGTACAGCTTTTCCTACTCTTTTGTTGACTATGAGGGCTACTCCATTTCTTCTACGAGATTTGTGCCCACAGTAGTAGATATGATAATTGTCTGAATTGAATTTGCCAATTCTCATCCATTTTAGTTCACTGATGCCCAGGATGTCAATGTTTATTCTTGCCATCTCTTGTTTGACCACATCCAGCTTATCAAGGTTCATAGATCTTACATTTCAGGTTCCTATGCAGTATTTTTCTTTGCAGTATCAGACTTTCCTTTCGCTTCCAGGTGAGTCCACAGCTGAGCACCCTTTCGGCTTTGGCCGAACCACTTCATTAGCTCTGGAGCTATTTGTACTTGTCCTCCACTCTTCCTCAGTAGCACGTTGGACACCTTCCGACCTGAGGGGCTCATCTTCCAGTTGCTGCTCCTGGTGGATTGCATTTAGTCAGAGCTTTCCACTATGACCTGTCTGTCTCGGGTGTCCCTGCATGGCATAGCCCATAGCTTCTCTGAATTACTCAAGCCCCTTCGCTACGACAAGGCAGCAATCTGTGAAGGAGAACGCACTGCTAGCAAATAGTAAACAGAGAAGATTGGATAAACATTGTCTGCCACCTGCAAGCAAACCTAGTTCTGGGGACTTCCTTATACCACCTAACAATCAGTTTTCCCTGCTGCATCCAGCAGTAAATTTGCAGATTCCAGCTGGTCCTGAGGGAGGTGGCAAGCTAAGATCAGTAAGTCCAACTCCTCCAATAAATGACTATACCTAGAAATTCTGATGACCAAATGAAATTACTTGGGAGTTCAGTGTATGGTAATCACCCAGGCTGTCCATCTATTTACAGACACTTACATAACATAATTGGGAAACTGAATGGGCTAGTAGTTAGACTGAGCTGCTGCCACATAACTTACCAATACTGAAGAGGAGTAAATTAAATGACCTATGTGATTGTACTTACTGTTCTGACAACTCAAGATTAACAATTCCATGGCAGAAAGTTGTTGGCTGTGTTGGTAAGGCTGGCTAACAGTGTTTTTGACGATTGTGAGTTCATATATGTAAAATGACTGCATGATATGGTAAGTGAGCTACGATGGGAAAACAATAGAGGCCTTGGGACCCATGAGGAGAAATGTAGAAGACAGAGGTGAGAAAAGAAAAGATAGGACAGTAACAGAAAGTAGGAAAGAAATACTATAAAAACAGAAGTGAGTCAAGAGTGAGTTGAGCCATAGGTCTCTTTGTGGCAGGTGTTGTTAAGCATGGGATGAAATAGCTATATACCCCACCAATCTAGGGGTTATTAACTTTTTTTTTTTCAAAAAGGGATTGTGGATCTCACCTCTTCCTCACTAATTATTAAACCTTAAAATAATCATGTGTTTTAATATGCTTTGCTTTTATATTCATAACTGTTGCAGCATACTTCCTGCCCTGTACTATGTAGTTGCTCGATAAATTGCTTTGTTCATAAGATGATAATTGACTTAAAACTCAACATTGTGTGTTATCTACTTTCCCCCTTATTGATCTTTTGACTTCCTAAGATTCGCTCATATCAGTCAACAAGTAAGAACACAAAGGGAAGAGTTCCCAATGACTTCCTAAGATTCTCTCATAGCAAGTAAGAACACAAAGGGAAGAGTTCCCAGTGGCTGTCCTTATTTGTGCAACACACGTCCTACTCACCCAAGGCCAAGCTCACATGCTTTTCAGACAGAAGCATTCTGAACGTTTGGGCTGCCTTCTGAGGGAGAATGGAAAAGCTTAAGGAAACATAATTGAATTAAATTTGGTTTGCCGTGATTTTTGCTTTTTGTACCTGCCCTTTGCCTTCAGAATGGTGCAGGTTATATACCATGAATAGGAATGTAAACTTAAGTTTGCTTTTCCATTTTGAGGCACCAGAATGTGACTGGCTAAGAACAAATGTTGACCTGTTGTGTCTTTGCTTAGACTGCTGATCAGCTCTTGGCTCGAGCAGATGCTGCCAAGGCTTTGGCTGAAGAAGCTGCCAAGAAGGGGAGAGACACACTCCAGGAGGCCAATGACATCCTCAACAATCTGAATGGTAGGCAGCCTGGTGGCTCATGTTGTAGAGTCAGCTTATGACCCCACCCCACCCTTTGCAGCTCAAGCTTCTCTTTGAGGTTGGACAAATGGGACAGTGCTTCACTGGCTGTGGCAGCTTTCATCTGGATTGGTGTAACTCTTTCTGTAATGTATTATCCTGATGAATGGAAGGTCTGCACTCATTATTTGCAGAAAGCTTTGTAAAAGAGGCTGAGGGCCTGTTGCCTGCCCATCATAGTTATAGTGGGTAATAAATGCATGCACAAATTGTGGGGGAGGGGGCTGAATCACCCAGAAATCCAGAAATTGTTAAATCCTTGAATTGGGTCAGAGTCATGTGGGCAGCCCAGCACCTGATTACTAGCACCACCAAATTAAGCCTCTTCCTCCCAGTGTAAATGAAGTCAGCCCATAGATGCTCTAGCAGTGGCATTCCAAATGGTCAGATAGCAATTTGTATCTTTCCAAAGGGATGAAGACCTTGACCTAATTCTCACCATGACAGTAAAACCACATCTGAGCTGTTTTACTGTAGACTGCAGATGGATTTCACATAACAGAAAGTGCTCCTCCCTATAGATCATGACTTAGGCTAGAAGGCTTTCTTCCAGGTGTGATAGTGAGATACATGGAGTAATTTTAACTGCTTTCTACAAAAGAGCAGCCCTGTGCAGTGGGCAACAACTGAGTGGTAGAGAAGATGCTTCACATGCAAAAGAACCTGGGTTTACTCTCTGACATTTCCAAGTAAAGAGGAGAAAAAATGTCTTGTGTCTGAAACCCTGAAGAGATGCTTCTGGTCCTGGTAGGCTGTATTAAACCAAATCATAGAAGCTCAATTTCCGGCAGCCTAAGAGCAACACATATCCACATCTGGACCTGGGAGGACTGCACCTACTTTCATACCCCAGTGAACCACAAAATTTGTTTTGTTTCTTTTAAAAGACTTTTTAGGGAAAGTTGGAAAGGCCCTTTCATGTGCTCTAGTGCTCAATTTTTAAAATATCACAACTACAGTGGTGCCTCGCTAGATGATGATAATCCGTTCCACTGAAATCACTGTTTAACAAAATCGTCATCTAGCGAAAAGCATTTCCCCATTGGAATGCATTGAAACCTGTTTAATGCGTTCCAATGGGGAAGAATCGTCATTGTCTAGCGAAGATCGTCCATAGGAAAGCCACTTTGCAAACCGCCAATCAGCTGTTTAAATAGCTGTCTTGCGAAGCATAGGTCCTGAAAACACCCGTTTTGCAAGCAGGAGGGAGCTGTCAAAATCGTTGTCTAGCGAAAATTGGTTTGCGAAGCAGGAACCAAACATTGTCCAGTGAAATTCCCCCATAGGAATCACTGTTTTGCACATCACTATAGCAATCGCAAAAAGTCAATGTCTAGCGAAAGAACTGTCATGTGGAGTAACTGTCTAGCGAGGCACCACTGTACTTTTTTGCAGTGGATGCTGGGGGTCAAAAACATGCCAGAAACACACATTTACATACATACTGGAGCACTGAGGACTTTTTGATAAAATTCTGGGAAATAGATTTTTTAAAAAAGAAAGAAGCTGAGGGAGCGGTAGTGCTGGGGACTCACAATAGGATCCTTGAGGATTCATATTTCATATGGACCACACTTGCCCACTCCTGAGTGAGACGGACCATTGCTCTGATTCAGTGTATGTTCGTTTTTTAATCTGAAGCACAGACACAATTGCCTCAGTAAGTACTGTAGTTAACTGCCTTTAAGTGACAAAGATCATAGAAACAGGTATTAAACAAAATGGCTGTTCAACTCCATTCCTTTTCTTCCCCATGTGTTGAATTGGGTTTCACAGGCATATGCCTGAAAGCGTCTATGAAATAAAGTGAAAACAATGCTGAAATGGTGGCAAACGTGGACCCAACAGTGGCTGTCAATAGGGATTGCTAAGTGGAACTGTCATTTTTTCTTTGTGGTCCCTGTAAATCACACATATTAGTTTCAGCCCTGCGCTGAAAAGTCCTTGGAAATTTCCAGAGCTTTAAAGGAGAGTTTTCCCCCTTCCCCATCTGCTCCCTAACAGTTTCCCCTCAGTCCTCTCTTGTCCACACACAAGCAACATCTCTAGAGAACTTTTCAGAGCTATTAACGTTCACAGCAAGTTGTATATACTTATTTTGCCTTTGCTTATCTACTTTTCTGTCTCATTTCCCTATTTTCTATTTTAGTTTTTTAAAAAGAGAGAGAGAAAGAGAGAGTTACTGTTTTGGACACCAACAGCCAGCATGAATTGTGAGAATTGTAGTATAAAAATGCTTTGCCTCTTGATGTACAGGATGAATAACTAAATGGAGCTGTACTTCTGCTTTACGAGGGGAGGGTTCTCTAGTAGCAGCTGTTGGAAACAGCAGTCTAAACTAGATGGATGCTTGTTTGATCCACCTGGGCTGTATTGTCATGTGTTTCCCTCCAGACTTCGATAAACGTGTGAACGATAATAAGACTGCTGCTGAAGAAGCTCTAAGAAAGATTCCTGCCATTACCCAGACCATTTTGGAGGCCAACAATAAGACGCATCAAGCAGAAATAGCACTGGGCAATGCTGCTGCTGATGCCAGGGAAGCAAAGACCAAAGCAGACAATGCTGAGAAAATGGCTAATTCCGTACAGAAAGTGAGTCTTGCGAGAAGCCACATGTCAATAGCACCATACATAAGTTCTAGGTTATCACAGAGAAAGCAGTCATTTTCACAGTAGGATGTATTGATCAAATATAATGTTTCTTAGGGTATGATTACATTGGAGAGCTGAATCACAACTCTGCTGTGAATTTATTCACAGCCTGTGTTACCTCTGAAATCGCAATCAGTACTCACATGGGCTGCAAATTGATTTGTGAATTCATCGTTCATACTCATTGCCACGTGAATCACATTCAAAACCACAGCCCCCACTTCTTTCCTTCCTTCCTCTGGTCTTGCCACTGCCTGCTCTTTCTTCCTCCGTTTCCACTTCCATGATCCTTTTAATGGATTTATGTGAGAAAACTAGAGCCAAGAAAGTGAGGGGAGGTAGGACAATCCTGTTACTGTTTTGTTATGATGTGTGAATTATGGATGTGGGTATGTGTGTATTTCAAAGAAAGTTAGAAAAAAATGTCCCACTAAGGGAAGAGTCAGAGCTTTGAAATGCACGAGTGCATGCACACACACACGAAACACATTGGGATTCCCCCTACCACTGTTCTTCTCCCTATTCGCTAGCCAAGTGCCTTGGATCTCTCTCTAACCTTTCCATCTGAACTTTTGCTGAAGGTAGAAAGCACTTGTAATGGGACTGGAAATCCCAATTTGTGTGTTCAAAGTCCCAACTGCTCTCCCTTAGTGGAACATTCAAAATCATGGTGCAACTGCTTACGTCACTGAAAACAGCACCTACAGAAATGCTCCTGTTTTTACAAGAATGTCCACAGGAGAAAATCTCCTTCAAACCCTTCTGGCATGCAAAAGTAAAAGCCCCCTAGAGGCAGAGAAAAAGTGCCTCTTTAGGAGCAAAAAAAAGGCTGGAAAGATTGGAATCGGCCTTTCCATCATGCAGACATTAAAAATACTTCTAATTCACCTGTTTTATAAGTGCAGCAAATCCCGCAGTATTTGACGATGTAGTTGCTCCTAGGTCTGCACTTTATATATGTAGCCACTGTCACTGTGGGGATTCCCAGGATTGTTATTCTCAGACCCTTACAGTAGTTCCCCAGTTATGTACGTATATATTCTGGACATAAAACACTTAAATAAATCTTAATTTTGAAACAGCCCTTTGCCCAGCTGTTTATATTTTCTATATGTGAGATTTGTTCTATTTTTTTCTTTAAAAACAAGATCCATCCTGCCTATAGCCTAAAGTCATTTAGTCCAAAAAAGCTGCCTCACATTTCTCTTTATGTTGTCAGCTCAAAGCATTATGTAATAAACAAGAATTTTCTTCTGAACCAGTTGTGGTTCAGTCTTTGGACTGGTGAATTGTAGACTACATTCACTGCATCAATAGTTTGTATTTTCCACTAGCAGGGAGTTAGTAAAGCAGTGTATGCAACAGTTATGCTCTCATTCCTGAATCAGATTTCATGTTGCCCGAATAACAGAAAATGTTCCTGTAACACAGAAGGACAAAATAGCATGGGAATATATTCTTACTCTGTTTTGCATGGAAACAGTCCCTGCCCTTAGCATCTCCAGATAAAGATTCTTAGCTGCCAAAGCTGGAAAATATCTCTGCATAAGACCTTGCAGAATGACTGCCGAATGATAATAGGTTACATGGATCTGACAATATAGAGTGGCATCAAACTACATTTTCAGATAATGTTTATCCAACAGATTTTGTGCAAACATGCATAAATCTGAGTTGAACTGAAAACATGAACACCTCAGTTGCTGCAATATTAGCCACAGCTAGATCTAGGGACCTCATCACAACTGTGGTGGACAACTGCGCAAACTCTTAAACTGTCAATATGCTCTTTTATTATGTCATTTAACTCTTTGGTTTCTGCAAATCTCAGAATGCTGCTAAGGCAAAGGACGACGCTGACAAGACATTCTCCACTGTTACTGAGCTAGATAAGGAAGTTGATGGTATGTTACAGGCACTGGAAGACACAGAGAAAGATCTGAAGAGGAAACAGGAAAGTACTGATCAAGATATGATGATGGCAGCAATGGTGAGTAATTTTCGCTGCTTTAAAAAAATATGCATTCCTAAGAATCTTACCGGAAGATAAAATGGCTTTGAAAATGTTTTTAGAGTGCAGCAGTGTTCCACCAAATTCATGAATGCATTTCGTAGTGACTTTACTTCAGGAATGGCAATTTTCAGGACCTGGGAGCTCGTTTTCCTCCCACATTTATTTATTTTCTTTCTTTCTTTCTTTCTTTCTTTCTTTCTTTCTTTCTTTCTTTCTTTCTTTCTTTCTTTCTCGATTAGGAGCAGTCGAGGGGATTACAAACATGGATGAGGGCCACATGTTGCCCACCTCTGCTTCACTTCAATTACTAACCTTGATCATCCTGTCATAAGTCAAACATCTTAAGCAGACGCTTAGTTGCACTGTGCTGTATTTTGCAGCAGAACTGATTAATGTGTCGCAAATAATTTGATACAGAATTGCATGCCTCCACTGAGTTTTATTACATTTTGCATTTTCTTCCATAGGCTTCACAGGCAGCTCAGGATGCAGAAGACAATGCAAGGAAAGCGAAGAATTCAGTGAACAGTTTGCTTAACACAATTAATGACCTCCTTGAGAAGCTAGGTATATATTTTGTTCAAATATTTCTTTTCAGCTGGTTAATGCCTGGAAAATGATGTGTGTCATTCAAGGAGTTGACGTCACAGTCTTCCGCCAGATGTTTTGGAGGACAACTCCCATTAGTCCATGCTAGCCCATAGTCAAAACATGATAGAATTTGCAGTCGAGCACACCACATGGTGAAAACTTACACAATAGCGACCCTTTAAGAGGGACTAGCTGCTGCTTTGTCCTCTCTGGCTGTTGTTATAGTACAAATGACTGATAAAAGTTCAGGTACTCCAGTAATGTTTGTGCGCTGATTTGCAAGGCTAAAACTATGTGCACGTCTTAACACTGGTGTAAGTCATTTGAGGTGATATAGGTGAGCAGCTGATGTGTGTCTATGTCAACACAGTTGAAGTGCAGAATATATCCTTCCTAGCCCAGATTTTGTATACTAATTTTCATACATTCAGCAGCCAATATCAAAGAAGGTAATTGCAAACTAGTAAAACAGCAAGCATGATGCGACAGTCGTAATATCCATCAAAACAGCAAGAGTGTGGAGGCTGATAGATTCCTTTCTATGCAACATTTAGCAGGTTTTTCATTTGTTTTAATTTGGATCTAATTTAAAAACTAGGAAGATCAGATTTGTTCGATGCTAATGGGACTAGTAAACTTATTTTACAGTAAGAAATCAATCTCTTTTTGTTCTGTAGAATGGGAATAATTTCTATAGAAGACTGCGGTAAACTGATCAGGTCCCATTCTGATTTATCTGTGTTGCATTGCAGGGCGTGTGGAACCTGTGGACTCAAGTAAACTGAATGAGATCGAAGACACCTTAAATGCTGCTAAAAAGCAGATGAGAGATAATGATCTGGACCGGAAAGTGTCTGATTTAGAGAGAGCAGCTGAAAAACAAGCCAGTGCCATCAGTGAATACAACAGGGACATTAACACCATTTTGAAAGACATTAGCAATCTAGAGGACATCAAGAAAACCTTGCCAACTGGCTGCTTCAACATCCCGTCCATTGAAAAACCCTAAGGGTGTGCTAAGGGCAGGGGGGCATTCCCTCAAAGACTGATGGAGCAATTCTTTAGCTGTGGAGTGCCTTAATTTCCTAGGTTATGTTCTTCAGAATCCCCACCTCATCTCCCACACAGCTCTTGGTTCTCTTTCTGCATTGAAATTGAAAAGAAATTAGACAGCCTTTTTGGCATCAAAAAGTCTTCAAGATACAAAATCTATTCACTTTCTTGCTCAGACACTCCACCTTCTTTCCCTCTCTCAAAACACTCCCCATTGATTTACACACTGTAAAATACTATAGACTGTTGGTTGACCTGAACTTCAGAAATGGCCATGGGAACGAATATTATAATGAGGGGCAATCATAAGCTTTTCTTCATTCCCTTCTTCACTCTTCTGTTTGATATCTCTCTCTCTTTTATTTCTCCCACCTCCTCCCCTAGTTATCTGTTGTTGTTTTCCATGAAGGAAAGAGTTTGGCTATCAAAGTGTTGAATTGTAATGGCTGGGATATTCAGAAACAGTAGTGGATTTCATGGTTAGAGTTTAAAACAAGAGAAAGGCAAGACCAATCATTTTTGTTAAATTAGTTGCCAGTCAAATCACCACTTTGGTAGCCAGCTGCCAATTTTAAATAAACTTTCTAGAGTGCAATATGTATATGTATAATCCTGTTTCTGAGAGATGATTTCTCAGAAGCACTTTGGAGGAGTCATGAGGAATGTATGTCCAGTGTCCATGGTGCTATACCTTGGCCTGTAAAGCAGGCATGTCTTCAACATGTTGTGAACAAGGGCAACATTTTTAATTTTTTTAAGATGACAAGAACCTGCATATCACCATAGTCTTTCTATCACAAACAAATTACTAGGCATCTCCAAGAGATATCTTGCAGAGGCACCTAGAGGAATATGTGTGGATACTTCCTTAAAAATAAATCTCTCTGGGTTTTTTTTTTGGGGGGGGGGGGAGAAAAACCAACCCAGAGAAAGCTTTACTTGCTAGGGTTGTAGGCAAAGGTTGATGTCTCATAGTAAAGAAAACCCAAGAGGTCTCTGCAGTCCTCTTTAAGTTGAATTATATTGTTTGCTGTAGCAGGTTTATCCCTTGTCTGAAATCCCAAAGCCAATTGACCCCATTTTTAGCAAAAAGTGATTTTTGGAGACAGATAACTCAAAGAGTTTGCAGTATTTAGAAACTGAGCTACTTGCTGCTTAGTATAAAACTTCTCCCATTTCAGAAATCCCCTCTTCCACTTTGTTAAGCTTCGTTATAGGGAGAAGACAGCTCCTTTTATGGTTGTTTTCTTGCCCTTGCCTCTTAGCTCTGAACTAGAAACTGAAATTGCACAGTTTCCTCACTAGACTGATCTAATGCTTCATCCCCCCTGCCTTTTGAGATCAATGTATTGCTACCCTTAAACACTATGCAACTTTGTACGTTTGCGTAGAGGGGAAGAAATTTATTATCTGACACACACTGGTGCTATTAATTATTTCAAATTTATATTTTTGTGTGAATGTGGATTTTTTGTGTCTTTTTTAATCATGATTATAGTGTGAGGAAAAGTCTGTTTCTCTTTCATCCACCCCTTTCCCTCCTGTAAATATGCTTGGTCTTGTTTCCAGAGTGGGACTGTTCTCTTCACTTTCTCTTAACTATCAGACTGCCTCTTATGCCCCTTTCAATTTACAATTCTGTGGGGCTGAGAATCAGGTATTATCTCTGCCCAAACTTGCCCGCTTTGCATTCCCATACTGGAAGTCAGGGATATGCTGTGGCATGAACATCAACCTGCTTGACCAGTGTATTTGAGTCAAAGTCATCTCCGCTTCTAAAGGCAGCAGTGGTGCCTAAAGGATTTGAAGGGTGTAAGCTCATAAATAACCAAACTAACATTCTTTGGGGGCATCTCAGGTGAGACTTTGCCCCTTGAGGGCTCTGTGTGGGGTGAAGTGGGGAGAAGGCCTCAATTTATATTTCCCTTTTGCCTTTCCCCCACTTTCTTTTGCCATGAGCAGAAAATAAGTAGAATATCCCATAGAGCTATAAACATGCAGTTCTTCCACCCCTTCATTTAACTTCCACCCAGTGAGGCAAATGTGAGAGGATGTCCACAGGCCCTGAAACAAACTCCAGTGTCATGCTGGGAGCAAAGTTTCATCTGAACTTGACCGTTTGTTTCCGGTATGCAGATGTAACATTGGAGCTGATCGTAATTTTATGACTGGTTAAAGGCTGCTTGCTGGGCTTGTTGGGGAAACATAACATTGGCCTTGTTCTCACTGGGGGGCGGCAAAACTGTGACCAGGCTGGTAAATTATTTCCACACAGAATGCTACCGTGCAAGAAAAAGGCAAGTTACGACCTTTCTTGACAGTATGTTAGTCTTCTGTGGGGAGAAATAAAGGAGCATTCAGTCACTTAACGCTATCAGGCAACCGCACAGGGAGATGGTTATTGAAGGCCCAGAAGCAGGCTTGGGGATGCAAAATTGTAGCCCTTCAGTCAGTACCAATCTGTGGGAAAACAAAAGCTTTCTTTGGGCCTTGCTTTTTCAGTATTCCTACAGCCTGTCATTCTCCAGGGCCAGATCTTCATTCATCCAAATTGCTTGCAAATAGTTTACATTAAACAAGCTTACCTCCATACGAGGTGGAAACAGTTGTTTGAAAATGATGTTTCAATGTGACACGTCACATTTGGCATCCATGTTTTAATCTGGTCAAGGAAGTCACATGACTCAATTCTAACAGCATCTCCTCTCTGCCCTCACCCCCACCCCTAAGAAAGAAAAAGAGGATGACAATAATGCACTCAGTTGTTTTCTTCTGGCTTTTTCGCTGCTTTTCTAGTATTCTTCCTTTTCTCTTAAGAAACTGGTTTAAGTAACAGATTTTTTTATTTTTTAATAAATAAATAAAAAGACCTCTATAAGAATCCTCTTAATTACAAATATTGTGTTAACAAGCCATTATCACATTTGTATAGGTCCAAGTTATTTCTTTACATAACAAAAAGATGCAGCAGCTGCTCGCAGAAACATACAACCAGGTGCCACAGGAGAGACCTACTGAAGAATTCCCCTCATTTTATTCTTAACTGTGAGCACTTCCATGTGTGCCTTCACTCCAGTTTTTGCCTTAAATCTGTGGTCTTGCTGTCTGGGAGTAGTGAACAAAAACAACAAAAAATGCAACACTTGGCAGTTTTATGTATAAAACAGTATTTCTTATTTATAATAAAGTCTGAATATTTGTAACCCCTCATATGCTGGATTCTTTGGTATTTCACCAGTGTATATTTGCGGGGGGTATAGGCAACCCGTGTTGCCCAAATCAGTTGTTCTTATCAAGTATGTTTTCAACATTTTCCTTGAAGGCAGTAAAACCTAAAAAGAGTGTTTAGCTCTAGAACTCTAACATGTTAGCAAAGAAGGAAACTGCTACAGTGTGAATGCTTCTATGAGAATTTGTAAGGGCAGGATAGCTACTAGTACAGTACTAGGTTTCAAAGGCAGTCATGATCTAGCTCTAAAAATGGCATAGCTTCAAAAGAAAATATAATAATTTCAAATGATATGCTCCCAGTTATTCTGAAGAGGATTGCCAAAGGAAATTTTAAAATGGCACTTTTGAAACAATAGGTAGTGCATTGTTCCTCTCTGGATGTCCAAGTTGGAGCAAAATTTTGCATTTTTGCCAAGGAACAAAGCAAAGCTCTTGTGACAAGAATCCACTCAGCAAAAACTCTGCAGTTCCTAAATGTGGGTCTCTGTGAATATAGCTGAAAGATTATAGAGCTACAGCTGCACACTTGCAAAAGCACTAGTCAGTTGCACCAGAATTGCATTTCTTTGCATGCCATTTGTTGCAAGTTATTTTCAGGCAATGTGTCTCAGCAGAATTTCAGAAATTTCCTGGAGTCTAGCATTTTAGTCACATGAACACAAGTGTGTACTTCCCATGGACAGTACAAGATAAAAGATATGTGAGTGTAATTAAAAGTAATTAAAAGCAGGGGCCATATGTTGAATTATTTAAACTATGGGAGCACAATACTGAAATTAATGGTCTTCCCTGTCCAGAACTTGAGAGAAGGAAAGGGAACAAGAAAAGTCCTATTATGAAATGGAAAAAAGAAAAGCCAAGAAAGATATTCCAAAGTGATGATGCAATGCCCTTATAGCCAGCAGACTCTTGGTCTGATAGAGACTGTGCAACAGGCCAGGTTGTACACAGTATGGTACAAATATATAATGGGACAGAGGTGATTATAGCGTTGCAACTGAAGGCCACCAATTCATGTCCTCCTCTGTCAGAGGACAGATGAGATACTAGTAACCTACAACTTGCAGATGCTGAACTACCACACCCATCTAAACAGGTTAAGGAGCCAATACATATTCAACTGAGTGGTCGCATAGACCAGATGGGCAGGATACAAATCAAATAAATAAATAAATAAAATAAACTGGCACAAGCAGCATCTCTGTGTACATGCAGACAGAGGTGCAATGAGTCATCAGAAACATTTGCAGTCCAAAAGGATGAAAGGATTTGATATCTTTTGATAAGAGCATGAAATGTTGAAAGTTGTCAACAGTCTGTTCTGACTTTTTCGTCATTTTATGGTTTTGTTGTTTCTTTGCTATTTGTTAACTGCCCAGAAGAGTGCCTTACACTAATGGGGTGGTATATAAATTAAAATAAAATAAAATAAAATAAAAAACACACTATCCTACTTTGCAAACAGGAGATGTTCTTTGTAAAAATTAATGATGCACTCCCTCTCTTAACTTAGGAAAGACCACACACAGGACTACATTAATTAGTCCTGCCCAGAAGATGTATAAAACTCACTTAATAAACCCATGAAGTTACCAACACAATTGTGGAGTATGTACTCTGTAGCTGAGATTCAACAGACCATCTCGAAAATACATCATGGGCTGCTGTTGTGTCATTTCCAGTTATATCCTGTTATGTTGAATCTCATGTCTAAGACAGGAGGTGTGTCACATAACAGTCCATTGAGTCAGACCAGGTGACTCAGCTGCTATAGTTAGATGAAGAATCTGTCATTCTTTCACATACAGTTTAACATACATATGTTTCACATACATTTAGTTCTCACTCTAGATTTGAGTTTAGCTAATGACTCAAATAAGAACTCCCCATAAATCAAAACTAAATTTTTATAAATGCTTTATCTCTCTGTGGCTTAAGGTCAAGCATATATTACAGCTTGGTCTTTCTTTCTTCCCTTCCTTCTTTCAGCTGGGGGCATGGCTGATAATTTTTATTGTGAAAGGTTAGCTTTAATCTTTCCTTCCCAGCTCATATCTTACTAATAATCATTACCTCCCCACTTAATAATAGGGTTTCTTAAAAAGTCTCCAGTCTCGCCACGTTTTGTAATTGGCTCAGTTTAAGAATGCAAGGTTAGCAGCTTTAAAAACTAGATCTAGAACTGCAGTCTCACTTTATATTTATTTATGACATGTTTCTACTTTTTTAAAAGTATTTTGGCTGTAACATACAAAAAACTACAGAAACAATCAAAGTGGAGGGTATGTTACATCACATATATTCAATTGTATGGATTTTATATAAGTCATACTATGAGATATATATGTTTAATCTATTCTAATATATCTTTCTGCAGAGTCCCATGTCACTGTTGTTAGTCTGTGACGTGTTGTTAGTCTGTGGAACTCCTTGCCACAGGATGTGGTGATGGCATCTGGCCTAAATGCCTTTCCTGGAGGAAAAGTCCATCACAGATTCCTGGAAGAAAAGTCCATCACAGGTTACAAGCCATGATGGGGATGTATAAACTCCAGGCTTAGAAGGAAGGTACCTCAAAATGCCAGATGCAGGGGAGAGGCATCAGGAGACAGGGATCTAGTTGTCTCATGTGCTTCCAGAGCCATCTGGAGGGGCCACTGTGAGATACAGGAAACTGGACTGGATGGGCCCTTGGCCTGATCTATCAGGACTCTTTTTATGTTCTTATGGAAAGAAAGAAAGAAAGAAAGAAAGAAAGAAAGAAAGAAAGAACCAAATGGTAAAACAGTAAAGCAATGATAAAACAAGAAAACAGTAAAGCATTTCACTGAAATCAGTAGTGGTAACTGCCAACAACCATGTCTTCATTTGGCATATGCACCCAGCTTCGGAAACTTCCCTGTTTGGACTAAAATTCTCAGGATCCCTTAGTCAGGATGGACACTGTTCATTTGCCAAACTTCTGGGTGCAAGCAATAACAGACCTCTAAATTTTACAGCAGTGTTAGAGTATGAATCCATGAAGAGCAACTCTCATATGAGGCCACCCACGGTTTAAGTATTTTTGCTAAAAATGACAGCATTTAAATTTTAAAAAAACAGCAAATTTTAACTACCCAGAAACATATTTTTGATCTCTCTAAGCAAATTATGGGCTAATCATTACTGCCTCACAAGAAAAAAGTTCACATTTTAGGTGACTAATTTTAGGAGTCCTTATTATACATGATTACAATGAAGGACACCCCCCACCCCCGAGGATATTGTGCCCACTTCCCAGACCTTTCCTGGAAGCTGACAGAGCGCATGGCTGCATCTCTGGCCCTGCAATGTATTCCCAGGTAAAACCACTTTCTGCAGCTCAAGAGCCGACAGATATCTGAATCAGGAAATGCTAGGAATGTTGTCCAGGCATTCCAGTGATGTTTCCTTGGTGACCCCTTCAGGTAAAGGAGCTAAAGAGTCTAGTTTTGTGAAAACAAAGGAACGCAAAGGCTGAAAGAAATTGATTATTTCATTTTTTGAAACAGAAGTGAGGTCCTTCTTTCTGCAGGTAGGGGATTAAAAACTGGGCAAGGCTGGACTTCCGTGCTGTGCTGACACCTCAGCCACAGTCTCGCCAGGTTAGCCTCACCCAGCTTGCTCACGGGAACTGAGCCCCAGGGTGTGTCTCTTCACTGCTGGGCCGCAGACAGGGGTGGGGGTGCATGTCAGCTTCAGCATCAGCCGGAGGAAAGGCACCCCTGAGGCAAATTCATCTGAGCAAAGAGGTAGTCACTAACTCATAGGTTGAAAGGTGCTTGGAAAGTGCTTTTACTGGCTAGGTAATTCAGTAACACAATCCCAGCATTTCCACTTCTAAAATAAATAATGGCTGAAATCCTGTTTGCACAGCTGCATTGCATAATGTGAATCAATCACCAGCCACTGTGATTTTTTCAAAGATAAAACATCCCTCGCCCCTCTTCAAATGTCCAAAATGAGATCCCTTTTATCATGAGGAATCTTTTGGAAGAGGGATGCTTTAATTCTGACCATTGCTGCCATCGGTCCCAATGATGGCAATTTTCAGAAATTAAAGCTTCCACCACACCCTCGTGGTCCCTAACGTTTTCTCCACAGTTGAGAGGGATACTACAGGAGCCTGGGGACCTTCAACCAGAGGAACTGGAAATGTTTTATTTCCAAAAAAAATCACAGTGGCTAATGAAGTTATTAGCCTTATGTGACATAGCTGCAAGAACAGAATTTCAGCCACCGTTTTCTTGGAAGTTCTTCATATAGGGTTATTGCTATTGATCTTAATATTTCTAATTTTTTTTTATGTTTTACGAGTTGTAACCCGCCCAGAATAGTGCTCTGACACTAATGGGAGCAAAATAAACATTGGATAAACGAATAAATAAATAAATAAATAAATAGAATAAACATTGGATAAATGAATGAATAAATAAATAAATAATTCCTATACTGATAAGCATATTCAGTATGGGAAACATCTGATACTTGCAAAAAAACAAAAACAAACCAATAACATATTGAGGGTTCAGAGCATTTACTATCTCAGGTGTAGTCTCAGGAACGTTCACAGCTGATCTGTGAAATAGATTCTGATCATTATCCACCCCACACTGAAGATGGGAAAGGGGGCACTGCAGATAGAACGGTTTGCCAGTAGCATCTGCTTTCTGATGAAGGGACATAACATATACAAGTGCATACTGCAAAGTACTTCACATGGGTCAGAGAAGTATTATTGTGAGAAGGACTCGCTTTCCTGAGTAAAGGTAGTATTTCCTTGGGCTTAGGCATACATACTGAAAAAGCACAGCTTTTGTTACTTCATCGCATTTCAGTGTAGCTTCAAGTTTTTCTCGCTTACAGTAATTATGTATAACAGAACACGAATAAAACATTAAACGTTTAACAAGTTGGTAATGGTTCCAAACCCTGTCCAAAAGTGTTTTCCTCATATTGTG